TTTTTTTTTTTTTTTTTTTTTTTGACAAACGTGTATTTTTATCAACTTTTATTCCTTTTCTAGTTAGAAACAGATGAGTCCATTTTAGTACAGAAAGCAAAAAGAGCCTTATCAAGATATGGACATAAGGTAAGTATGTTAATTTTATTTGATAATATACTTGGCATGATACTGCCCACAAGAAAGCCATTATAGAATTGAAAAAAAATATTTGCATGTCCATAAATGCATAAAATCAGTTAAAATTAAAAGTGAGGAACTACTTTCATGCATAGTATAATTTATTTTCAGAATCTTTAGAACAAGATCTAATAATATTGCAAAATATTTGGTTCAATTAGCCTTAAATTTTTTGTAGATCCAGCATAAAAGAACAGATTGTATTCATATAAGCACAAATGTCTGGAAATAACATTTAGTGATGCTAAGAAAGAAATAAAGGACTAGAAAAAGATACTGCAATATGTTTATTTGTTAATCTAACATGGATAAAATACAGTGATACAGAAGAATGCTATGTTGAACGAAGATCAACCCATTATAAGTATTCCTATAAATAACATGCCATTTTTTTCTTTCCCAGTAGCATACAGGAAACTTAAGAAATGGGCCATACATGTAGAATCTAGACAATTTTATTATTACTAAAAGAGAAAAAAATTGAAAGAAGAAGTATGATTGTTTTCAACTGAAAAATGTGATTTAGAGTTATAAGGAAAAAAGTTTATGAAAAGCTTCGTTAATAGTATTCATATGTGTCAAACAAGATTAAATTTAGGTAGTTTAATAATTTAAAACACTCTTATCATAGCACTCATTTAATATACTCTAATCAAAAAGTTTACTCTGAAGATTGATACAAAATAAGTGTGTTAAAATTATTTGAATGGAAGAAACAAAATCTTTTTTGATGTATAGTCAGTCTCTTAATTTATAATTCTTTGAGCTATTATAATGCATATTAAATTGTAATTTTCCTTGAGGCAAAGCAAGGCAATAATTAATTTTGCATATCATTGATTTTATAATGTATACTGTCTTTTCTGCTATTTATTTTAAAGAACTTTGATTTTTTTTTTTTTTTAAGCTTGTTATAGGCAATGAGTTGAACAGTCGCAAAGAAAAAGTTATTTTTGTAACCGAAGAAGGAGAACGTTCTATTGTGATAAGTAAAGAAGATATAGAAAGAGGAAATGAGATAGAAGAATTGATTGTTAAAGAGTTATTGAATAACTACAAAAAATTTAAGAACTACTCTTAGAAAACTCCATTTATAAGTAATCATTCCAAATAAGTATGTTAATTTATTATATTTATTAAAATGTGACTTATATCCCCAAACATATCATAGTTTATGTCCTTCTTATACAGACATGATTCTTATGGTGAAGTAACATATAATGTTCAAACATCTGCATCAGTTATTCTCATATTTGGAGTTTGGTCATTATACATTTTGCAAAAAAATTGAATATTTTCATTTTAAATTATAGTTACTGTATTTATTTGTTTGTTTTTCTCCTTCGAGTATCTCCTTTCTAGCTTTTTAGTGCAAGCTTCTGAATATGTTTTAAATATTCACATAATTTTTCCATCCTCAAGGCTTTCAGAAAGTGAGCTCCTATGAATTTTAAAATGGATTCATCATGTAGTGGTTGTTTTCATCATACTAATTGATTTATTTGTGGATATTGGATGCATTGCACAGGGGAAGACAAATTGAATGATGACAATGGTGATGGTTTGCAAGTTGTAGCAGACAACACAGACAGCACTTCTAGCAACACTGAATGATTTGAGACCTTGGAAGAAGCAGCAGACAACAATAAGAGCAGGCAAGACTCAAGACACAAGGAAGAAGATATGAGATACTGTAATGTTAACCCTCTGGCTGCTCATCCCGCAATTTCCACGGGCAACTCGAAGCAAAATCTGCTCATCCCGTGATTTCCGCGGGCATGGGTTTTTCTTCCTTTATTAAGAAGCACATCCTGTTTTCCCCCTGAAATAAATTATGCGTATTGACGTTAGTTACAGTTGCCAACAGAGATCGTGAGTTGCTCATAAATTGCGGCATTTGAGGCATGTGGAAGGCTGCTATAAACATTCGCATTATCTTGATTTTAAGTAATTATATTATAGATTAGTGCTTATATAATTATTAGATTTATTATTGATTAGATTTATTGATTCTAATAATTAGATTGATTATTAATTCGATTTATTGAATCTGTTGCGATATTGTGAAGTTGGACTTTGCCTTGAACCTGTTTTAACTCTATCTCTAACTGCATTTCTGATATTTTTTCTCAGGCTTTAATTTAGCCTTAAATTTTTATTTTTTACTTTTATATTATGCAATAAATTAACTGTGACTTACTGAAATTTATTTTAAAGATTTTGGGGGGTTCGCAGCTGAAATTGTTTTCTCAACTTATTTCTCATGATAAAATTATATAAAAAATATTCTGAAGGAAAAATCATTCATTCTCCATTATCTATAGATTAAAAAAAAATTGCACAATTTTGAAGCATTCGTCTACAATTGAGCGTCGAGGTACTTTACTGTGTATTCTATTGTTTTTATTATTTATTTATTTTAAAAGAAATCCTTTGCACCACAAGTATCACGAGACTTCCAAATCTAAGAAAAAGGCAAAATTGTGCGTATAACATCAATTTTCATAATACAATGAATCATACACAAAAATGTATTCTTATTAGAATGACCGTTTAAATAAAACAGTGTCTATGTATAGGTTGTGTACCAATGAAAATTTTCATTTGTTATTTCTTCCTGACCAAGTCCTTCGAATTAATTATATCATAAATTTTCCTGCTAAAACTAGTAAAAAAAGGGTAAATATGCAAGTAAATACAGTATGTATTGTTGATATATATATAAAATTTAAAATTTACTTTTTACCAATTTATGTGTTAAAGTGGAAATAACTATAATTAATTGTTTTAAACATTTTTGTATACTTGAAAATCATTCATGATCTCTTTTTTTAATGTGAAAATACTTTGATTATTAAATGGCACACTTTAAACGGTGTATTATGGTATTTTGAAATGCAATTTATGATATGCTGAAATATTTTTCATCTGAAATGAGATTATGTATTATAGATTTATATACTGTGGATAAAACACAAGTGTAGTACTTACAAATGCTATGCTTGAGTTTCATAGCTAAAAAACTAATGTTTTATATCTAATAAACTAACATTTTATGTTTAATAACATTTGGTGGTAAATGGGGAATAATAATGTAATAATTTTATTTATTTATTGTTAATATTTTAATTTTCAAAAGTGTGATGCCATTTATTTATTCTTTCAAAAAGATTCATTAGTTCAAAGAATGTTAAGCAAGTATTAAAACTGTAACTGAATTGCTATAAATGTTTTAAAGTCATTTATTTTAGCATTAAAATTACCATTGTTTATACATATAAAATGCACTTGTTTCTAATGAAATATGTTTTTTTAATTATTATTATTTTTTTTAAGATATAGTTATGGTGCAAAATTTAAACTTTTATCCCTATATGCATTATATAATTATATATATTTTTATAAATCAGGTGCAATATTGAATTATATTGCAATATATATTTATATATGCAATATACTGAAATTGCAATATTATAGGATTTACATTTTTTCATTTTTTAAAATTTATCTGTCATTTTTTTCGGACATTTAGACAGAATCTTCACTTAGGTGTGTTAAAACAATCTTGAAATATATCATGCTGTTTATTAGACTATTACCTTGAAATTAAACATTTTAATTAAAAATATCAATGAAATATACTTAAAGAATTTTAAATGAAATCATATTCATACCTTCATAAAATTTCAAAAACATTTTCTTACAATATCAATATTTTTAGGTGCAAAACCTAAGTATTTTTTTCTTTTCTTCAAAATCAAACCCATCATAGAAATTATTACTTTTATTTAATAATGTGTTTAGTTTGTGATATTAATATAGAAATTATTCAATATTATTTATATGAGTTTTTAACTCTTTTAAGAAAATTGCTCTTCATGGAGATAAAGGCATAATTAACTTTTTTTTTATTACATTTCCAAATCAATGTAGCAGATAGTTTTAAATTTCTGTAAGTACTTAAGATCTTTCAACATCTTCAGCTAGAGAAAGGTTTTTATGGTATGCCATCTTTTCAAAGCAGGAAAATATTTTTAGAAATTATGCTTTGTACTGATTTAAAATTAAGCAAAATTTTGCTTCATAAAGTAGAAAGATTTGTGTCAATTTCCATTCAAATGTATAAATGCTAATGGCAGTCTGAGTCCGAATTTTGCCTACTCCTAAATTTCAAGTTAGCTTGCTCATTTCCTATTAAATTTTAGGTTGGCTGAAAGATGAAAATGTTTCCCACAGATGAAAATGTTAACTTGATAAAATAGAAATTCATCATTAGATCTGTTTTGAAAAAAGATTTAGGTTCTTATCTTTAAGTATACAAAAGAAGTACCATTAGAAATATACTCCTAGATTCTACTGGTAAGGTAAATCCATTTTATATTATCAGGTTTTAACAATTAAATTCATTTTTAAATTTTTCATGGCTTTCTATGTTTGCAATAACTATTTCTTTCTTGTGCTTTTATATGCAGTAAAACTTTGATAAAATGAAAAAAAATGCACATTTTCTTCATATAAAACATATTAAAAATTAATGTCAGCTTATGATTATTATTTTATATAGCATTCTTTAAATGTAAATACAGGATCAAAAAGCTGAATTCTTTCATTATACTTATACTTCAATATTTTTTATGTACTGAAGTACACAATAATTTGTCTTGCTTTGTTAAATATTATAAGATTTTCCAAATACCAGGAGACTAAAAATTTTTTAAGTGAAAGACAGTATGAGAGGGAAAGCTTATTAAAAGCAGCAGGTTAGTCAGTGAACAATTTAAAAATAATTAAAAAAACATATATGGGATTTTACTACAGTCTGCAATAAATTTGATAGAACTAATTCATTGTAGAAGTTTCCACCTTAATATAATGTATATAACTTGCTGTAATTCCAGCAATTTTCTATATGTGATTCAGTAGTTACTAGATAAAAGCAGACAATAGAGCACACTGACTATGCATTGTTCGATTTTGTTGAATAATTTACTGATGTAATGAGTAGGTTGTGCTGTTCAGGCTACATTGATTCAAAACTACAGTTTCATCTTCTGGCCATGTGAGTAAAGCTATTCACATTAACATCATATAGCAATAACTCATTAGTCAGATAGCAAAAGACCATTTGAAATTGAAAGAACAATTGAAGTCAACTGAAATTCAAAGATTTTTCCTCTGTGAAGGGAAGAAACTTTTTTAAATGAAATTTCTCGACACTTACATTTAAAACTTGTTAAACTATTAAAATTGTATAAAAATACACCTAACCCAACTGGAACTTGACATCTGGAAAAATGTTATACAACTTTTTATTTTGAAACTTTAAATGTATACTTCTTGAAGAAGAAAAATTCTTATGCTGGAATTTCTTATATGGTTTCTACTGTTTAGTAATATGCATATCTACAGATTCTTGTTTTCGACAAAATTTGCCAGAAATTTTAAAACTCAAAGTTTCTTCACTTTTTTATATGTACTGAATTTCGGTGATATAAGAAATTTACTAGCAAATTGTTGCAAAATGTTCTAAAGTTTATTTAGACATTTCTTGTAAAATATACACAATGTTATTAAGTATGTGCAATACTTTTATGTATCTGTTTCAAGTTAACTGAAAATAAATATTTATTTTTATACAATGCTTTAGTGTAAAACAAGTTGTCTCCACAATGTATGATAATTCTGTACAGGGTTGCCACGCTACCTGGAAAATCGAAAAAAGTCTCACAATAGCATCCGGATATATAAGCTGTGACATTGTCTATAATAAAACTGAAGAAATCTCAGTTGGAGTTGATATCTTAAAATTTCTCCTACAAGAAATGCAAAAACCAAATCATACTCAGAAAACCCCTCAAATCTATATAGAAAACAATCCTGCTAAAAACAAAGAAGATAATTATCTTTCCACCTCAAAGCAAAATAAATCAAACAAAAAGCGTACTATTACAGATAGTGAAGGGTTTATTTCCCCTTGTAACTCTATCAAAAGACCTCTCTCTAACTCTGAACAGAACAAACCTAAACAATCAAATAAGTTTTGTGAACTTGATCAGGAAGACCGTATGGCTAACGAAAATGCAGTGAATTTTATCCCTCCCAAAACTAAAATTCATGTTCTACCAATTGTACTAGATGATTTTAGTGCATATTGGGAATCATTAAAAGAGGAAATGAAAAATAATAACATAAAAATTACAAAGCCAACATGAAATTATTATTCACAATTAGAGTTTATAAAATTGATCATAACAGATATCTAACCGAACCGCTACAAATGCGTGGAGTGCAATTCCACAATTTTGAACTAAATTCGGAAAAACCGATTAAGGTCGTCATCCAAAAAACTGCCAAAGAAAACGAATCCTGAGTTAATCCAACAAGAACTCATAAATAGAGAAATTCCTATACTTAAAGTTAGGCAACTCACCACCTTAAGAGTAGGAATACGCATTTGTAGCGGTTCAGTTAGATATCTGTTATGATCAATTTTATAAACTCTAATTGTGAATAATAATTTCATGTTGGCTTTGTAATTTTTATGTCATTATTTTTCATTTCCTCTTTAACATTGTTAATGTTCCAGTTTTTTCAAGTTGATCTAAAATGCTCTGTTGAAGGCAAAAGAATATGCAAAGTTAAAAACCATCAGAGGTTTAGATGTATTTATTGCAACTTACAAAAGTCAAAGCCAGGGCGCCCGTGCAGTGCCAAAGGTACGGACAACTCACGGGAACTTTGCCACGACTACACTCCTAGGTGTCTTAAGTGTGCAAAACATCATGAAACTTTCAAAATCGTAAAAACAACCTTGTATTTAGCGTAAGTATATGGAAACACTCAATTGATTTCGAGGGCAGCTAAAGGTCCCTCCGCATCAGGAGAAAGAAATACCTAGAAAGAAGAAAAATAAAAGGGAAGGAGTCTCAGAAACATGTGGTCCTTATCAGCACTGCACTTGGTTATAAACAGATATTAATCAGAGTTACACTGGCCATCTACTTTTACTGAGCCAGGCTATCTGATCAAACATAACACAAAGGACAAGAAAAATTAGTGAAGTTAAAAAGTGAGGAGAGACCTTTTAGCTGCCCTCGAAATCGATTGAGTGTTTCAATATACTTACGCTAAATACAAGGTTGTTTTTACGATTTTGATTGTCACATTAGCGTTGTTTCTCTTTAGTTCTATCATGAACTACTTATTGCAACACAAAAAAAGAAGAAAGTAGAACAGCTCAAGTGATGCATAAGGAAAAGGGTGTGCTAAACACCCCAAAAAACATACACAAAGCAATAGAAGCAGTAGACTTTTAAAAAAAAAAAAAAAGGAACTTAATAAAATTTCACTTAATTCAAATGAAAATTTTCCTTGACTCCCAAACACAAATAAATAAAAAATCCCTGAAAATTCATCTGCATGGTTTAAAAAGAAAAAACCAACAAGATCCACCAAAAGAAAATGATTTAAACCTTCTTCGATCGGATTAAGGTACAAATGCAAAAAATAAAAGAATTCTTCATAAAGTTCAAAACAGCAAAATTCAATATGGATGAGCTGGAAGTTGACATACTAGACTACTGGCTACCCTAGACTACATTTCAATCCTCAACTTTCAATTTTAGTCATCTTCTATCACTAAAAATGCAACTTTACAGTTTCAGAAGCATAAATTTAAATTTTTCATTTTTCATCATCATCTCCCATGTATGTATCCATTGGAACTTGTAGCTTAGATTCGCATATCTTAGTGAATTTGTATGTATTTACTTCTACTTACTTAACCAAAACTTTTTATTAATTTTACTCATCGTGCAAAGAATGAACTTTGTTTAATACATTGGGAGAGACAAAAAGGACTTACAAATTTGTACTGTTATTTTTAACTTAGTATATTTTATTGTATTACTATTATTTTAACTTAGTGTATTACTTTTAGTGTACTTTATTACCTTCTGAACTTTTATCTTTATATTTCCGCTTTCGTGTGACAGTGTACTTAGTGTGCATCATATATTTTTCAAACCAAGACAAATGTTAATACATTTATAAGATATAATATTATGGTTAAAAATCTCTTTTGTATTTGTGTACCAGAAGTAAATAAACGATAAACGATTTTTCTTCTTTCTTAAATATCTTATTTGTCATTTTGGAGTAAAATAAAAAAAATAAATAATACTCATTCATCTAGGCTAACCATTAAATATATCTATATTTGCCGAAATACCGTTGATTTTTGTAAGTCATTTTTTAATCCTTAAGTAATTAAATTTTGTTTTAATGTTATTCGTATTATTTAATGTGCCTTCTTTCTTCTAAATTTATTTATTATTAGTTAATAATACTTTCAAATTTCAGGCAGTTTTCTCTGGCATACTTGTGAAACTAATTCTAGCAGTAATATGACATACCATCACGAAATTTAGTGCACGTATTTTTTACTTATGTATGCTGCTAAATAAATATAAACTACTTGAATTTATTTCAAAATATAATTAAATAGATTTCTATCTTCTTTTAGCTGCAAAATATCTTCAGAAAAGATATTTTTAAATCCCGATTGGGCAGAATCATCTCTTATTATAAAAGTGCTGCTTTGGAGATTATATATGTATTAAAAATCATATGTAATGGGCAAATTTTTGTGTTTTCAAGTGGTACCATAATTAATTTACTTTCGTCTCAGCCAATGTGCACTATGCAGATAGCCTGGAATTTTCTTGAAACACACCTGGAAAATTTAGGGAATTTCATTCTTTAGTTTGAGTGGCAACCCTGTCTGTACTTCTGAAATAGAAATTGTAAAGCTTATTAAAATCCAGAAATACTAAATGATCCAAAAGTAAGAGAAAAAGTAACAATTCAATAATTTGGAAAGTATACGCAGTAGTATGGTGTGGAAAGAAATGGGATTTTTTTAAATAAAAGATTGTTTTGATAGAATATGATTTTTCACCAACAGGCAATGCTTCAGTTGCATCAGATATTCATACCATGTTACAGCACAATTCTTAATGACGCTAGAATTAAAGTGTTCAGTGTGGCAGCTGTCAGATTTAGCAAAGCACTTTGCACAGCATAAGAAGGTTCAGTTATGACATCATGAAAACTAACGTCATTCAATACAGTCGGTAACATCAGCCAACCATCTGTGACTTCAAGTAGTCTATTAACTAGAAGTCACAAAGTAATAAATGTTTTGTTATTAGAAAAAGTCATATCTTTATGTGCATTTCTCTGAAAATCACATCGTGATATTAAGTGCATACTTTTCAAATTATGGAATTTTTACTTTTGGATTGTTCACTACTTTACAAAATATAGAGTTTTCACCATTCACGTACCTACTGCCTTGATTGGCACAGTGGTTAGTGAGGCTGGCTGCTGTATTGTTGAGCCCAAGTTCAAATCCTGGAGAAGTCTACTCTCAGTATGTGCTCAGTACTATCCGTAGAAATTGGAATGGAAATCCCTCCTTTCGCAAGTGTAAAATTGGTTGTCCCAAATGGTACACCTAAGGCAATGTTCAATTGCCAGTGTTAAACAGTATGCAGGCTTTAACAAATGTGGAAAATGTGGCAGATACAAAATTCCCATGAGATGATGATAATGATGCAGAATTAGAGGAAGATTAAAATCTGCCAGTGAAAGCAGAAGAAAGGCTTGTATTATTAACATATTGCATATGTTTTTACAGTTCTTTGAAAACACTGATTTTAAAGACTTTTGCACATGTGTGCATCTGTAAAACTTTAAATACACACGGCAGGTAATTATTTATGTTTAGTTAAATATCTGAAAAAATGCACAAAAACTTGAATAGAAACAAGAAGGAAGTTTTGTAGGTATCAAAGGAATTTATTTTAGTATTTAGAATAAAATTTGCATATAATTTCCTGTGAATTAAGTATATTTGCATCAATTTCATTGCATCTAACTTTTAAAATTTTTGAGAAATTCCTTTATTACTCATAAATAAGTAATATATTTTAGCACAGTGTTTCCCAACTGGATTTACTCCAAGGACTGGTAAAATATTTCAATACATTCACGCGGACCAGTAAGTTTAATAATTCAACCCATTGGCACAATTTTTGGACAGATAGGTAGATATTTTGTGGACCGGTGGTTGAGAGATACTGTTTTAGCATACATATTTTATTGTGACCACAATATTTTGAAAAATGATATACCCATTTGGGCTTATTTTTTTATATATTGAAGAATATCAACCATGGCATAAAATTCAAACTAATAAATCACCCGGAAGAAAGTGACTCTGAAATATTTTTATTTACATCTTCTGATAAATGACCACTGAATCATAGAGGCATTTAATAATGTGTTCACTAATTTAATGATGATTCTTTCCAAAGATTGTAGTTGCTATAACAATGCGTATACATAAATGTTTTACTGTCTATTAAAGAACTGAATAAATTATTTATTTAAACTGATAAAGTTCGTATTTAAAATTTAAAAGGTTGAAATTAAATATACATAACACTTCATACTTTTATTAATGCATGTTCTATGTTATAAATTTTGTATGCTTAGTTATTCTAAAATTTATCAAAAATGGTAAACTTTTCTCAAACCAAGGTTCAATTATATATTTAAAGAAGCATTAAACAAA